CAAATTAACTTTAATCTTGATTTACTTCTTTTTTTTTTCTAGTTTTACGAATTAAAAAAAAAATTTATAAAGTTATAAATCGAGATTAAAGTTAACGAAGTATTTTAAGATCGCAAATGTGAATACACAACTGAGTAATTAAAAAAGTTAAGTTAAAGTTAATCAACATTGATAGAAATAATGCCCGATGCCCGTTTCTACCAATGTACTTTAATTTTAATTTCGATTCAATTAATTTTTTATCTTTTTCTAATTTTAAAAATTAGAAGAAGATGAAGAGTTAAGCTGAGCCGAGATTAAAGTTAATCTACATTGATAGAAGCGAGTCGGTTTTTCATGCTATATCATATTGTATGCGTATTAAAGTATTGTCGAGATAATCGCGCGAACCTCGCCGTCTATGTTTGAATTACGTTTAAACGAAAAGAGGAAAAAAATGAGCGAAATCTTTACAGGAATTACGCGCGCTCGCTGACAAATCGTCGGCCGTACAGATCATCGAGATAGGTAAGCCAAAATTCTTACTATTCTGTTATGAATTGCGAATTAAATTAAACGGTATAAATTAGGTCATTAATTGCTAAATTCACGCTGATTAGCAGAGAGAATTTTGAAATATTTGAATCGTTCGACGGGAAGAATTATCTTATTTTTTATCATGGCGAAAAAAACGTTTTAAAAAACGTTGTAAAAAAAGAATTGAGATGACTTGCAATAATTATATCTGATGAAATCTCTCAAAATTTTGAAATTTTGATATTTCAATTGTACGATTAACTTTTGATTCTGTAAAGTATACACAAAGTATCATTAAAGTATTATTTTATCTTTGTTTATTACTTAATATTAAGTGAACAGCAAGGATCAAATAATACATCATGCATTTTACGGAATACAGCCTAAGAATGTTGGGTCCTTTGAAATATCAAGGATAATAAAATCATTATAAAGTTTCAATATTTTCGTTGAAATTCCAATCCTTGTTAGAATATTTAATGGTGAAAATGATTTGTAAATTAACATTCCTAGATCTAATTTTGTAACAATTTTTAAAAGCATAAATAAGGGTTTAGTCTTATAATAATATTTCGTTTGCGAATCATTGTCATCAAAAACGAATATTACACTGTAATAACATTCTATTCAAATGTAATTGCAACAATTATATAATTCTAAATTGAATTTTTTAATTTTCTTTTGTTCACCATAAACTTCAATGAATTTGAATCAAGTGAAAGTTGTTTAGATTTAAATTAAAAATCAAGCTGGATTGCAATTAAAAGAATTCGAATTGTAAAAATTTCGTTTTTCTTTTCTGAATTTTATTGAGAATCGTACTGTTCTTCAAATCACGTTTTGACCAAATAGCTAAAAAATGCACGTAAAATTTATATTAATATTAAAAAATGTACAACTGGTTATACCAGTTATAACGCGATGATGAAATAACGCATACGACAATGACATAAAACAATGACATAAACAAAATTTCAACAGATTAATTTTAAGATAGGAACCCGTTATGGTGATCGAGTATTCGTACAGAAGCATGTCTAAATTCCCGGTTAAAGAAAAATGTTAAGATCTTACTTGTGTGTGACGTGGGAAGAATATTTTTCTGCTTTTCTTGATTATATATATCCACTTTATTATCGACGTTGCTGTCTATCTCCATTTTGCTTTCCGCTTCGTTTTTTATTTCATTCTCGGCATCGTCTTCCGTTTTGCTCCCCTCTTTATTTTCTACCTGGTTCTCCATTTGATTCTCCATCTCAACATCCTCCGTTTTGGCCTGTAGTTTAGTCTGCGTCTTGTCTATCTGGTTCTCCACTTTGTTCTCCACTTCATTCTCGATAACACTTTCCCTTTTGTTCCCTGCTTTATTCTCTACTTCGTCTATTTGGTCTTCTACCTTGTTCTCCACTTTGTTCTTGACATCGTCCTCCGTGTTAGTCTCCAGTTTATTCTCCGTCTTGTCTATCTGATTCTCTACTTTGTTCTCCACTTTGTTTTCCATTTTATTCTCGACGTCACCTTCCGTTTTGTTCCTCTCTTTATTCTCCGTCTTGTCTGCCTGATTCTCTACCGTATTCTCCACTTTATTCTCCACATCGCTCTCCATTTTATCCTCAGCTTTGTTCTCTCCCTTGTTATCCAGTTGCTTCTTCGTTTTATTCCGCGCTTTATGCTCCTCAACTTCTCGATCGCTCGAATCAGAATCAACAATTTGCGATTTTTCGCAACATACCAACCATGCTTTCGCCTTGTTCAGTTTACGTGCTTTCATATTCGCGCCAGGCAGATGCGAAATGAAGAAAAATAAAATCCGAATACAATCGAAATATCTACAGCGAAACACGTCGCGAACATTCCTATCGTAGAAAAAAAGACACCATTTTGCTGAGCTTGATCGATACTAATCAATGTGCTATCTGATACCATCTAGCTTTAAAATTTTCTACTTAAGAAACGTCAAAGATTAATTCTTTCTTGCACGCGATAACGAAATCAATTTTTTTTATTCTTTATCGAGGAGTGACATGTGGCTCGTATTCGTTAAAATGTGATAATGAGAGTCATCGCATTACTGGGAAAATTAAATTCATGCATGACACACAGAAATATCTCTACGTCATATCTCTCGTATAATGTAATAATTTTATCGATCAATATAAAATACTCAACGAGATAACAACATATATCACATGTTCTTCGTATTTCTTAAATAATTTAATAAATAAGAGCAGTGTATTGCGAAATTGAATGATTCTTTAAATTCTTTTAATTCCTTCACACGCTTCATTTGCCGTGGCCTTTTTATAATTAGCATTCCGCTAAGAAAGAAGAACGATTCTTGCAACATGATTAGCACTTTAACAGTCTAGAAATCTTTAAAAATAGATAAACTTATTTCCGTTGTTTATTCCTTTGTTTCTATAGATATTAAAGTGAAATAAAGATAATTAAGTGGCTAAATCTTTTATGTACATATATATTTTTTTAGAAATATAGTTTTAACACGTATTCATTAGAACGAGCAAATATATACTAATTTAAATACAAGACGACGAATTTTTTCAAGTCTTTCTTTTTTGCGAAAGAATTATAAATTTTAATTAATGTGATATCAAACTCGTACTAATATCTATTTCATTATTTTATTGAAAATAAATTATAAATTGTAATCTTATCACGTAAAATTGGAGCAAAATTTCTTTAATCTTATTAGTCTAGTGAAAATATAAAAAAGACTAATGAAAATATAAAAAGTGCTGTGTTACGTCGTATTAGTAAGCCTTCCTTGACATATGCTATACACACCTGCTTTGACAAATGCTTGTGTATAATACAAGAGAATCAGATTTATCAAACATTCATCGCGCAAAACTGAACTTTCTTTTCACAAACATGTAGATTAGCAACTTCTAGCATCGATCATTTGCGAAAAAAACTTTACACTGCCTTTTTACAGATTTAACGGATACGGATAGCTACAAGAGAGTCGTAGACACGGTGAATGAAAGGGTAAATGGCGCTGGTCTTAACGTTCTCTTTAACAACGCTGGTATTTCTAGCAAATTTACACGTCTTGGCCTCGTAAAGAAACAGCAGATTACCGACGCTTTTCTCATAAATACCGTGGCACCGATTATGCTAACAAAGGTACACTCACAGTCCTTTTACATTCGTGAATTGCCGAATAACGTCGGTTCATAACGGAAGTAATAATCGATTCAAGGCTTTCCTGCCGCTACTTAAAACAGCTGCGAAAAATTCCGAGGATAAAACGGGATTAAATGTAAGAAGAGCAGCAGTTATTAACATGACATCTATCCTAGGCAGTATTACCGAAAACGGTGATGGCGGTTTTTACCCTTACAGATGCAGCAAGGTAATACTTCAACTTTCTGAAACTGACAGTCTGTTGAACTCCACTTAATTATAAATCTCTTTATCAAAAATGTCAATTCAATTTTCTTTATGTCATATCTACATTCGGATTATTCTTATTAAACACATTTATATATTTTGGTGTTCATTCTCTTTTATACGTATTAATGCACAGACTGTGGTATTATGTCATTTTAATTCCTTGAAATTAGTGTCACTTTAACTCTCTGAAATTAGTGCCTTTTAATTATATAAATTAAATGGATCTTTCACAAATGTTATTTTCGCATCAGTTCTGTAGAAAAATTTGTTCTGTAGTAAAATTTTAATATTGTACATTCTTATTGAAATGTAAAATTGAGTTTTGATAAAATTTGTAGAGTATATTACTATATATATAATTTATAAATTTTTAAGTTTTAAAATTAGAAAACCTACATTATACTTTGGAATTAATCAATACGTATATCTTGTATCGTTAAACACTTGAGATAATTTTGCGAAATCTTATTTAATCTCATAAAATATTTAATCTTACAAAATAGGCGGCGCTTAACGCAGCGACAAAATCAATGAGCATCGATTTAAAAGCAGATGGGATATTGGTAGCGTGTTTGCATCCAGGATGGGTGCGAACCGATCTGGGTGGTAGCAACGCTCCAATGGACGTCGACAACAGTGTCAGTTGCATTCTGAATACCTTAAACTCATTAACGGAAAAACAAACCGGTTGTTTTGTGCAGTATGATGGTAAAATATTATCCTGGTAATAGTGATCAAGTAAAATATTTAATAAATGAATTTTTTTATACATAATGTTTTTTATATGGATTTTTAAATACTTTAAATTAATATTAAATATACATCGTTTTTGTAAAAAAAAATCATAAATATACATATAATTTAATTAGAAAACAAACTCTAAAACAAAAAATATGCTTCATACTTTTGATGACTCGTTCCCTCAAATTTTGACTTAATGTTTCACGTTAAACATAATTTAAGTGGAAATATTCCTACAAATTAAATATTTCCACAAATCACAAGCACTTTTTTACATTTTGGAATACTCGGTATAACAATTAGTAAAAATATCTTTAAATATAAAGATATTCTTACTAACATTTATATCTTTATACAAATATACTACAAATGTTTTATAATATTTTCAAGAGATGTATAATATGCACTGATTAAGAGATCAACTATTTTATTCGTATGAGTTCAAGCTTATTTTGTACATGTCACGGTGCTATAACGCAGAGGAATGCAAGTTCTCCTATAGTATTAATGAAAAAAAAAGATATTTGAGATATGTACAATGATTTTTAAGGACTATCAGAAGCGTGAACTGTGTATAAAGGTATGTTTTTTTAGCACTTTTTTGTTTTTGCAAAACTAATTATAATACTCTAATATTATAATATTCCAACAGTTTGCACGGATAATTCTTGATGTAGGAATAATCATTATAGCAAGAAAAATATAGTTTCGAAAAAAAATAATACTGCAGTGTGAGCTACTAATCGCCGCGAATGTACAATCCGCTTTCATTATCAAGCATTTTTCAATGTTTGAAATCACTTTTACAATCTCATACTCTAGAATCTTTAAGTTAAGAGTGGAACATGTACATATATATTATTTTATTGTTTCCGAAACGTGTTACAATCACCTCATACTCTTTCACTGAAAACTTTCAATTTTTTAATCAATTTCTTATAAATTGAGATATAAAATGAGGATCGAGATTGAACTCAGAACCTACTGACGAATTAATTGCTTCTACTTAAACTACACATTTTAGTGGGATTATATAGAAACAAGAATTTAATAAACCGATTGGGATGATGTGTAACTCAAGGGCGATTTGTAATCAACAGATCTCAAGTTTAATTCCAAGCTCCAATCTATATGCATTGTATAAGTAATTGATTTAAGGATTAAATATTTAATATAAAAACAATATACATATATAAACGGATTGAGCACTCGCTGATGTTATTCTATTCAATTAACCAATCGTTATTTCTAGTTTCTAAATTCAAGGGGGAAATTTGTAATAAATTCATAATGTGAAAAAATAAATTCCATTATACATAATTCAAAACGTTTCATAGGATCGATAGTATTTGCAATTATATAATTATATGTATGTATATATAATATATATATAATTTATATCTCACTAAATTTGAATGAAACAGAAAAGAAAAACTTTTCTTGTGATCCATTCATAAAAAGTACGTCTTAATAAAAAATTATTAAGTGCAAGTTCACGAAAGAGATAGATTCCTAAATGTCAATCCCTATACGACGTATTGGCGGTGATGCTGATTGTAGGTCAAACATTAGTCAGTCTTTAATCTCTTAGGTGCAGGTTCGCTGTTTTGTGAATTCGAGTCTTCTGAAAAGCCCAAATGTGCAGAGAAATCTGTCAGTCCTTGAGAATCACTAACAGTAGAGAAACCTAGTATGTAAAAAAATCCATATTTTATGTTAATCAATGACAATAATTTTCACAAATTACTAAAATCAAACTCACACGTATTGGAATCTTCTGTAAGACCAAAATTGGAATTTGACGATTCTATTCCTCCTTTCCTTGGTAAACCGTTTTCTTTGTCGGAAACTGTCTTTCCCTTTTTCTTCTATAAAATAAAACAATTTATTCTTAACTATTTGTTTTGGTTAATTTTAATCAACATGTATCATATTTTTTGTGTAAAATACCTGATCGAGTGTCGAAATTGGAACCCATTTATATATTTTCATAGTTGTTTCTCCTATTGTGACCCATTTCTTTTCCCTGCGATCATATATGTATTCAGAATTTTATCCATTTATTTTTATATAAATAACGAATTTAATGGAATATAGGAGCAAAAACATTCATTGTTCAATAAAGAATAAAAGAAAGATCCTTCAGTTTTCATAGCTGAACTATGGTCGGTATTCATAATTAGTTCTTATTTTAAGATCGTCTTAAGTAATGTGTTAAGTCACTAATACGGCCCTCTGATTGGTTCATAACATCTTAAGACTGTACTTAAGACAGTTTTAAATATAAGATGAATCCGACGATGAATATCGGCCTATGTATTACTAATAATTGTAAGTATACGTTCGTCTTTATTGCTATGACAAATTCTATTACTCTATCCAAAGCTCAGCTATGAAATCTTCAATTGAATTGATAATATTCTTATCTAAACTTTCGTTTTTAATAGATTAAAAGCTTCTGTCATACAGAATTTCATATAATTTTTAATAATTTTGATACTCGAAACGGGTATTTTAACTTCGAACATTAGCAACTGCCTCGCAATCTTTCATCAATACGTACATCAAATATCACGCCCTTCTGACAATTAAACAAAACACGAGCACTTGTTTCACTTCTTTCGTACGATCCGTGAGTATCTTCCACGAAACAAGCGATAAATGACAAACGTAAGATCTGGTAATTTCGTTTATCCACCTTTTTCTCTCCCTCCGAACACAACACAGGAAACTTACCAATGACGAACTTTATCAACTACTTGCATTACACGTTTAATGTCATCCTTGGCACGACTACGAGTCTCCGCCCGCACTGACCGCGACATCATGTTATTGTTCACGCGCGATTAAATCACCGGTAATCAATTATTGCACCAGTTACACGGCACCAATGATACCGGGACATCCGTGGGGCGAAAGCAGTGAGAGGTTAGGAAAGGTGACAGGAGGCAGAAACCCAAGAAGTCCGAGAACCTCTAATAACACCCGCGATTCTACTCCCTATCGCGATCAACTTCAGCAGTTCAACCAATTCAACCAATTTCAGCGTCTTCGACTTGAATACACTTGTATTTTTCGATTTCCCTAACTGTCACTCTGTTCGCACATTTAGGGAATTATTTT